GCGACGATACCTGCCTCGTAGTCCCTATTTACGAGACTTTGATACTTCGCCAAGATTTCGTTGTAAGAGGAGACATCATCGAAAGATCAAATCGCGGCTATCAATCGAATACCCATTCTATTCCAAAAGTTTCATATGCAAATGTGTCATCAATTTCGAAAAATTCATTTGTAATTTCACTGTTTGAAAAACACGAGGTGTTTTTATTTTGAGAAACCTATACACCAATTGTAGTTCCAAATGTGAACAAAATTTATTTATTTATTTTATTGAAAATGTGATTTCAATTTTATGCCCCAAAATATAATCTTGACTTGAAAGAAATTCTGCATAGAATGTGATTTCAAATCCATAATTGAAAATTTAAACAAAGCCATCTGTTTTGTAGGGCCAAATCAGAGGTGTTTGAAATTTGTATTCAAGACTCACTATCAAGAGTGATTGTCAAAATTTTCAATTATAAGCCAAGATCACCCAGGGCATTCGATCGATTTCCGTGAATTTCTGAAAATGAAAGTTTCAATCAAAAGTGAACAAGTAAGGGAAGAAATCATACTCACAGTGGATGATGACTCCTTTTCTTTTTTCTTCTTCTTTTTTTTTTTTAGTCACATAGACACGCAGATGTACTTGTGAAGTTTTGACACATAAGGGTAAGGTGTACTATAGGCTTAAGGCTCCCATCTCAACGAAATAGTAAGCCTTTTCCCAATATCGCGAACTGCGGATGGGTCGGACTTATTTCTTTCGAGGAAATGAGCGGGATCGAGAATGATTGTCCCATTGGCGCAAACTGCGTATGGTCCATTCAATCCTCAACACCTCCTAGGGGTTTCTTAAGGGTGCGGTTGGGGTTTAACCGCGGGTTGTGTGTGCAAAGAGTGTAGTGCTAAAACATGTATAAAGGCGTGCGCATCATTTTATATCAAGACAGCACTTCTATCTCATTGACATACAAATACATTCCTTACACCAACCTGCAAAACAAATGAGTTAACAAAGACTTCACCCCTTATAACTCCCCACCTGCAACAACATTTAACACAAAGTTAGTGTACTTACCTCAATCTTCACGATGCACCGCCATAAAAACACGTTAGTTAACAAACAATCGAGTTTATTAGGCCTAAGTCCTCACGTTCCCCAGCGGAGTCGCCAAGCTGTCACGACCTAACCCTCGAGGGCCTCCTCGGGAGAAATAGGTTTAGAGGTACTTTATTGGACTCTCCCTAAGTCCATACCTCGCGTGACATTGGTTGTTTAAATCTATTTGTTCAATAGGAGTCGCCACTAGCTACGATTAAAGGTCAGCTAGAAACCCTAATCGAGATACGGGAGTGTTATCTCGAAAACATACGCAACCAGAGATTCTTAGGGATCGGGGACTTGATTACACTAGTTTTTCGACTAATGCCCTTTCGGTACCTAAACTCGACTATTTGCTAACCAAAATATCACGGCAGTCTTTACTAATCGAGAATTTTGAATTTTCATCTTAACCATTCTAAAAGGGGAAAACACCAATCAATGAATTTAAAGTACACAATCAAATGAAATCAAAATGAAAGTGCACAAACAGCGACCTAGCATCGTCTCTAAAAAAAACAATAAAAAATCCCTAAGGTAAAGCCCTAAAGGCTTATGCAACTTTGGGTACAAATTTTATTCAAACCTAAAGTGTTTATTAAAAGCCCTAAACTAAGTGAATTCCAATTTTTTTTAGCTTTTCTCACACATTTTTTATTTTTTTTGAATTTTCTGATTTTTTTATTATTTTTATTTTTATTTTTTATTGGGAAATGGATTTCAGACCGGGTCTAAGAACCCGGTTTGATTCATTAGTCCGACCTGAACCCTGATGGTCCGGGCTTGGTCAATTCGGGCAAGTTCTTGGGCCCAATAGGAATAAGGCTCAAACTATCAAATTTCAGTTTTTATCAACCTAGGCCCAATTCAGCCCATTCAATTGACTTGACAGACGGCCCTTTACACTTTTGCTCCGCCTAAATCACAACGTGACTCGGTCTCCATTATAATCAACTCTTTTTACTTCTTTTCTATTTCCTTTTTTTTTATTTTTCTATTTTTTTATTTCCTTTTGGCCTTCCCCTCTGCATAGTCTTCTCCCTCGATGTCTTCTTCACCGAAAGCTCACTTCCCTCACGCCTTCACTGAGAACAATTATTCCGGTTAACTCCGTAACACCGTCGGCCTCAAACTTCAATCGTCAACATCAATAATCACGGCCAACCAATAACCACCGGCCACTAGTTGGCCGACGGTTTCTACATCGTCGGACTAACTCCGGCGAAAAATTCTCAAACTCAAAAATCACGTAAACTGAGACTCAATCGCACGTAGGAGATATATATGCAAATCAAATCGTGAGAGATGGACTAACTGAAGCGGCCTCTAACCGCAGGCATCGCTCCGGCAAAAGTGGAATGAATCTCCGTCGAAGGTTCCATCCGACTCGGAAAAATGATGAATATGCCACAAAATGAAGGAAAAACACAGATTCAGTATTGATTCATCAAAATAGGACCTAATCAAGCACAAAGGACGAGTTCCATGCGTTGATTCCACAAAAATCAATTCGGTTCTTCTTTCAAGCATTTTGTCGAACATATGATATGCAACTCAAGAAACGATTTTCCGACTTAATTTTCGAACGATTTTCAGCGTAAACACAATATATAAAGTTCTGAATCACCAATATATTCCACAAATCCGCTTCAGTTTCACATGATTTTGACCAGAAATCATTCATTCAATTCGGCGTTCTATGCCTCAGTGTAACAGAGAAACAAATCATTGTAAGCAGAAGGTTTACCTGGTTCGTGGACAACGCCTTCACGGTAGTCTACGAACGGGATCGCAACAGAACTTGGCGTCTTCCGGCACGGCGAAGAAACGACGAACAAGAATGCCTCGTACGTCCGAAGCGACGAACAACTTGGAGGTTACGGATTCCGAATCCAAGGAAGGGAAGAGATGGATCAAAAGGTAGGGTAGCAGCTGCAAGAGTTCTCCGACGATGGTGAACAAACGATGGAAGAAGGGGAAGAGATTTGCCGGAATTCTTCTACGCGAGTAGAAGAACCGAACGCTCTCTTCTCCAAGACCCTTCTTCCCCGACGATTTTACTCATTTCTTCCCCCCTTCAGTCGAGTGAGTATATATCTTCCCGCGCCTCCACCGTGCATTCCGTTTTTCTGATAACGACTTCTACAGCTCAGCAAGCATCTAGAACCTTACATGGATATGCTTCCGTCACATGTTTGTTTCGTCACCGCCATTCTCAATCACAGATGCACCCTCTGTTCGTCACCATCTTCTGCTCACAAGTGTGAGCAAGCAAAAGGGATCACAGGCGTGAGATTGGGGGTAAAAAGAAATGGGCTCAAAGGAAATAAACTGGGCTTAAAGACAAAAATAAAGAAAAGAGAAGAGGGGGTCGAATTCGGCCCAAACGAGGAAAAAAAGATAAGCCAAACGCGCAGTGGGCCGAATGCTCATATTAGGCCCAATTGGTCTTGGTAGGTCAAGAGTTTTTTTTTTTTTTTCTCGAGGTGTCAACAGGTTCGACTTATGAAGTGTTTTTACAAGCTGAAAATGACTCATTTGATTTAACTTGATTATCATAAATGAGTTTTTGCCGAAGCTTGATTCAATCTTGAGCTCGAATGCAACTTTCGTAAAATCCCATCCTTTGAGGCTTGAGCTTGACTCAGTCTTGCCCCTCAACTTGTAAACAATTTAAGCAAGCTCGAGTAACACCCCTTCTCTCCTCTCTCGCTCTCCTACCCTTCTCTTCTACATTTTACTTTCCTTTTTTTCTGGAATAAAATTAGTTTCTTTTAATTTTGACATTATTAACTTTTAATTTTTTCTTACTAATAAAATAATATATCTCATCTAAGCATACCACATCGACATAGTAAGAGTTATTTAGAAGGACTTGATTGAGAATGGGGTAGAGTTAGAGGAGTTGATTCCAAAATATCCAATTGCACAAGATCATAGATTAGGGGACTGAAAGTAAACTTAATTTTTCTAAATTATTTTTCTACTAGCAATGGAACGCGGGGGGCACACAAAAATTTAACTATAGTAAAAAAGCCTAAATTATTGATAATGAGAATAGAAAAATATGTTGGTAAAGTTCCAGCATTATAATATAATCTTTATGTATTGAAAACAAATAAGTGCCAATTTTCTTTATAAACTCCGACGTCACATTTTGTAACATAACTTTTTTGAAAAATAAGGGCATCTCTAGTCTTTTTTTCTATACATCAGTCCTAACTCCTTTCTTTTTAAGTCCTTACTCCTCTCTCAACTTTCTTTACACAAAGATTTTGTTTTTTCCAATTTTTGGCTGGTCATTTTAATCTTTTTAACATTTTGTAATATCTTGGTGAACAACTCACACATACCATGGGCCTACAATAGAAGTTCAATATTTTCTTTCTTGGGTAATTGCAGTAAAAGTACTAAAACTTGTAAACAAAGTGCAATCAAATCATAAAAAAGTAAAAAAGTACGATCAGATCCTAAAATTTGTGCAAAAAAGTTTTGCGAAGTACTTCCATTAATTAGGATGAGATTGACCTATCGAAAGTTCTAACACTTGGTTATACTTTTGCCATAAGAATTAGGACTTATGATAAACTTAATCCTCAATATTACTTAGTTTTCTAATTTGGCAGATAAATAATGTTGCAAAGTAAACTTTTCAAATCCGAACTTAGGAGCCTTCAACTAGTTTCGAATAGCATTATGGCTGTAGGTTCAGACTTTACCTATTCAAAAGCATTCCATCTTAGTTTAAAACAATCTTCACTGAAGAATCTTCTTCATTGCAAATTTTTCATTTCAAACTCCGAGAAAATGGTCATATAGTTTTGTCATATTCTGATTTCTACGCTAGACGCAGACCCACTTTTTCTCCCGAGTGGTAAGCAAGAGTTCTATTGATCAATAAACAGACTTGAATCTCGGTGGAAAGAACGAAAACACTCCTTTTCAAGCTTAATAACTGAATCTTAGTGGAAATCTTCATGGACGTGAGTGTCTGAACAACACTTTATCCCAAAATCGATAGTAAGCAACCCTCCATGATTGGATGAACACTAACGGACCACAAAATATCCAGAAGCCAACAACAAATCCAAACGGTATGCCCAGGTAAAACCACTTCTTCTCGCTATCATCATTGTCACCATCGTCACCAGCTTCTTCCGTCCCATTTGTGGTAATTGTGCAACTTTTGTTAAGCTGAAGCCCACACAATCCGAGGTTTTTTGCGAAAGAACTTTCAGAAAACGTGAGGAATTGTCCGCTAGCCGGGATGCTTCCCACAAGTTGATTGTTTGAAAGGTTCAAGAACGAAAGGAAATGAAGATTTGCAAGCTGAGTTGGTATGGTGCTATTGAGGTAGTTCCATGATAGGTCCAACGACTCGAGTTGATGCAGATTCCCCAAAACAGGAGGAATTGAACCCGAGATGGCATTATGCGATAGATTGAGGAAACGAAGTGCTTTTAGATCCCCAAGTGTGTTAGGTATTGGACCCTCCAATCTATTGCCCGAGAAGTCAATTGACGTGAAAATAGTTAGAATCTTGACATATTCTAGCTTCAGACCTTTGCAGGTCACAATCAATGTATCTTCATAATAGAACCCAGTCCGGTTGGCATATGGATGCAGGTAATTGAACTCTACGTTGGCCTTCATAGCCTCCCAAGATGTGAGGAGACTCGCAGACAGCGTGCCGCTGAAATCGTTTGAAGACAAGTCAACGATTTGAAGCTTCTGCCAGGTGCTAGGACCACGCGGACATCCAATTTCCCCATGCAATTTGTTGGATCGTAAAACAAGTACATGGAGACTCGACATAGCCTTGAAATGGCATGGAAATGTCCCGTTTATTTTATTGCCCCCGATGTTCACAACCTCTAACATTGTGCAATGTGTCAAAGACAATGGAATCTGCCCCTGCAACAAATTCTCACTGAAATCCAATGTCCTCAGATCACATGTTCTTGGAATGTTTTGCGGAATAGTGCCACTCAACTGGTTATTTCTCAAATTCAATACCTTGAGGGATGCCATCATTAAACAATCAGGAATAGTTCCATTCAAATGGTTACCTGATAAGTCGAGCACTTCAAGTCGATCGCATTTGCAAATTGACTTCGAGATGGACCCATGGAAATTATTCTTCGAAAGGGAGAAAAACGCCAATGATGATAGGTAGTCACCAATGTTATCCGGAATAACAGAAGTGATGTTGTTACTTGAGAAATCCAAGTAGCCAGCCTGTGACAGCAGGGGTGGCATATTTCCTCGGAGCATGTTTGAATGGAGGTCGACGTAAAACAAAGCAGAAGTAAGATTGCGTGGAGCAGTTTCCAAATCTTCAAAGCAATTCGAGGAGAGATTGAGATACGAAAGATGTTCTAGCGTCCATATCCATCTCGGTATCTCCCCTTGAATATCATTGTGGGAGAGGTCGAGGTGGATCAAATTGGACTGGTTAGCCAAAAACTGAGGCAACGTCCGCAACCGGCAGGAAGCCAACTCTAAGTAATAAAATTCAGGGAAAGAGGATGCAGAAGCAGACGTTGTAGTATTAATGGACAAGCCACTGTACGATAGATCAAGATCAGTCAAATTTCCTAATCCCTGAAGCGCGGCAATGTTCATCGAGCCACTGAAATTATTGGAAGAAAGTGAGAGGAACTGAAGCCCTTGCAGTTCGAATATGGATGCTGGAATTGACCCTTGTAACTGATTGCTACCCAAATCAAGCGTGCGCAGTTGATACGAAGAGACATTCGGATATATGATAAGCTGACCACTAAATCTATTGTATGAAAGATCTATCTTCGTAAGTCGAGGAAGTGTAAACAGAACTGGGGGAATGTGACCAGTTAAAGCATTATAAGACAAGTCCAAATAAGTCAGCTCTGACAGGTTCTCCATTGAACTTGGGATCGATCCACTCAAAGCATTAGAAGACAAGTCCAAATAAGTCAGCTCTGACAGGTTCTCCATTGAACTCGGGATCGATCCACTCAAAGCATTATCAGACAAGTCCAAAGAAGTCAGCTCTGGTAGGTTCTCCATTGAACTCGGGATCGATCCACTCAAACTGCAATAAGACAGGTCCAATGTCGATAATTTCCTGAGATTACCGATTGAATCTGGAAGCCTCCCTGAAATATTCGTTCCACGTAGGTACATAGTCTCAAGAGAACTATCCTCCGGAAAATCGGGCAAAGAACCCTGAAGACGATGGTTCGATGATAGATCAAGGAACTGAAGCGTTTGTACCTGGAAGATTTTTTTAGGAAACTCTCCATACAAATCACAAGAACCTAGGCTCAGAGTTTTCAAGCTGGAAAAATTCGCCAAGAAACTAGGAACTGTGGTGGCCAAGTTGTTGTAATCGAGTTCAATGACCGACAGATTAGTAAGACTCAAAAGAGAAGCGTCAATAGGACCAGACAGAGAACAGCGATACATGATCAACACCTCAAGTTTCGGCACTGAAGAAGACACTGCATCGCACCAGTCACTTCCCTCAGCAGACACATTGACCCCATCAAGGTTCAACTCCCTCAACTCCCCCAAATCCCCAATCAGCGACCTCAAATTGGGCTTTTGAAGTTTCAGCAAAGCCTTGTCAGGGTAGTCATTACCACTCAGATCAAGAGTACGTAGCTTTGTCAGGCGCGATAGTTCCGCTGGAATCTGCCCAGTGAATCCGGCATAGGACAAGTCGAGATGTACCAAGCGACTGAGATTCCCGAGGCTCGACGGAATCGCCGCAAAGTTGAAGTTGTTGAAAGACAAGTTCAGGCTCCGAAGGAACTCGAGCCTAAAGAGACTCGACGAAACGTTGATTCCGCCAAAGATTGACTCAAAGCTCAAATTAAGACCGACGACGAGGCCATCCTCGCACGTTACGCCGCTCCATGAATCGGCGCTTTGGTCCCACCGTACTAGCTTGGATGACATGAAGGTGTCGAAGACAAGGCTATTTCTCAGCTCGAGCAAGAGTGATCTCTGGTCGACGCCGGGACACCGGGTTGAAGCTGAAGCCCCAGCAACGTCGGAGAAGATGGAGATCGTGGATATCGCAAGAACAAGCCATGAGATGAGTGAACCGTTCATCGGAAGAGGTTGAAGAAGAAGAGCGCTGGAAGAGGGCACGGGGAAGAGGAGAACGAAACAAAGTCGACACTTATGTGATTAGTCAATAAATATGACTCATCTCACTTTCGAAATTACTAGCAAAATCCCGCAATCTTTCACAACAAAATTACATCCTTTATTTAATATAATTTTTCAATCCAAAACAAAAAAAAAACATATCTTTATTTTCTAAGAGAAACGGAAAAATAAACACGTCTTCCTAAAATGTCGAGATTCGAACTTGAAATCCCATTTGAAAATGGTTTTGGCTTTCTTATTTTACATTATAAAACAAATGACATATTATGAATCAATTTTTTCTTTGCGCATACCTTAACGATGTAGAAATTGGTTAAACGTAAATAGATACCTAGCTTTTCACACTAACATCAAAATGCATCTGTCATATCCTATTTTTTTCATTAAATAAGTAGATTCAAGAAAAGAAATAAAATAATTTATTAATGTTTGAATGCAACTTCATTACGGTGTTTGTGAGTAACACATAGGAGGAGTTGTGTTCTTATTGGAAGGCAGATGAACAAGAGCTTCCTTGGCTGGGATTTCAATGGGGCCGTGTTTGGTCTCATTCACATCACATCCTATCATAAATTTTTTGGTCCCTCTGCGCGGCTATCTTAAGTTGACTTGACTTGTGGTGGGTTTTAGTGGTTCTATGACTTTGGATGTAAATTCTTCAATGATCTCGCTAAGGATGTCATGTTCGATATTGGCTTGAGTTACTTGACCGAGTAATTCGGGCGAGTGGCAAGATACCACCGGAATAAATGGCGCGTGAAATGGACAAGGATCAAGTGGGAGGACTTTGGCAGCCCTTGGTCCTTCCTTACGGCAACTGCTGCTTTCACTGTCTGTCTTTACCCTCGTTAACGCATTTGTTCGCCTTGACTAGAGAATGCAAAATTTTCGTTTCAATGGTGCTTCCCAATGGGCTGATTTCTAAAATTCTGTCTACGACAAACACGGAATTTCGTCTGTGCACATCAAATACGTAACGTCTATACCGAAATTCAATTGAACCACGTAAATCTTTTGTTCTCGTTCTTCGTTGATTTCTCGGGTAAGCTTCTATCAAGGGTAATTCATACTCGAACAATATGTGCATGAAAGAAAGTGATCTAATCTAACAAGAAAATTAGTTATCTTTATCTATCGAGGAACTAGTTGTACCATGAACTAACTAAATATCAAATAATATCTTTAGAATCTAATAATATCTCTAATAATATTTTCTAATGATTCCTCAAATATCAATAAATATACTTAGAACAAAGCCCACAAACATGATGATCTGCGAGAGAGAGATCTGGAAAATATCGTGCGAAATGGGCTATTCAAGAACAGAGAATTGCAGGTAGGAGGAGAAAAACAGGGGATGTTTCAAATTGGAAACAGAGAGTGGTCAAAGTAAACTCCGGTGGGGACAACTTTGTCTGATGTCTACGTTACTGGGGGACTGATGATGCTACTTTCTTTGTGGACTCATGATGATATGTGAGAGAGAGATCTGGAAAATATCGTGCAAAATGGGCTATTCAAGGAGGAGAAAAACACGGGATGTTTCAGATTGGAAACAGAGAGTGGTCAAAGTAAACTCCGATGGGGACAACTTTGTCTAATGTCTACGTTATTGGGGGACTGATGATGCTACTTTCTTTGTGGACTCATGATGATCTGTGAGAGAGAGATCTGGAAAATATCGTGCGAAATGGGCTATTCAAGAACAGAGAATTGCAGGTAGGAGGAGAAAAACACGGGATGTTTCAGATTGGAAACAGAGAGTAGTCAAAGTAAACTCTGGTGGGGACAACTTTG